TAGGAAAAGTGGACGGAGAAAGGAGAGTTTCTCCACCTCGTTGAGGAGCTAAAGCCTTATTAACTGTTTCACACACAGCTCTAATCTCTGTAACTCAGTTTGAGCTGATTTTGGAGATGCAGCTCCACACTAGGCAAAGCACAGAATGGGCCTTCCTCACCAACCGTTCTTAAGAAGAAATTTCTTCTTAAAACCTTTACCAATGTTTTCTAATTTGGGATTTGTTCTTAGGTAAGAACATTTACAGCATTTGGCAGACGGTCTTAACCAGAGCGACTTACAATTTGATCATTTTACACAGGTAGGCCAAGGTAGTATTAGGAGTATTGCCTACGCGGAGTACTCCTACTGGTATAGTTAGGGTGCTTGCCCAAGCAGGGGATTGAAACCCAGTCTACAGAAGGCAGAAGTGTTACCCACTACACTATACCAACCACAACAGAAACCTTCCACGCAACAGAATCTAAACACTGTTGCGTGGATGGATAGATGGATAGATAGACAGACAGATAGATAGATAGGACTTTATTGATCCCGAAGGGAAATTGCAGTGTAACAGTAGCAAGACATACAATTGCACATAAACATACATATATTAGGCAGAAATAAAATAGGAGTTAAAAAAAAGAGACATAAATTAGGCATAAATAGAAAAATAGACAAAAGCAAACTATGAAAGAGTAGGAATAAAAGTATCTCTATTGCATATTTACACAGCATATAAGACAGATTTGTTGTATTTACATGAGAGCAGGAATTGCACAGGTATTGCAAGTGGTATGAGGTAGTTACAGCACAATGAATATAAGCATAACTATGAATATCAGCAGCGTTTACAGTCTAAAGTGCATATTTAAAGTGTCATTACAGTAGCAGGTTATGATATATTGCACAGTGTGTATTAAGCACAAACAATTCTGTGGTTTAAGAACATGTCATGAATCTGACATAGACTTTTTCTTAGGACTTTTCTCAAGATCAAATTTCAGAAAAAACTTGGGAAGATATTTTTGAATGAGGCCCGTTGCCTTCAAAGTGCAGATAAGATCTTTGCTCCTCACAGATCGAGCAAATGATGACATTAGGCTTCTGTTCATTTTGAAAAAGTGAAAGCAGCGTGAAGAGCTTCGTTCAGAAGTGCTTCCTCATAGGCTGTAATGTTTGTTGCTCAGTTTGAGGCCCATTTGTGGTGTTTTTGGAGATTCTGATCCTTTTAGCATTTCTGAAAAAGTTCTGTTTGCTAATACACAGCTACTCCATCATCTTGGTTGCTGCCATGCCAACAGCTCTGCAACTCCTTTCTGTCAGATCAGCCCTGTCTCGGATCTTCTCCACCTTGGATCACCTCCGCCTTGGATGAGCTCCATCTCGACTCGGCTGCATTTTTTTCTTTTTACCCTCAGACTAATATTGGTTCGTATGTGAAGACACTGCCTGTGCCCCTGGGAGCCTGCCACTCTCCTAGTCATTTTGGCTGTTTTTCTACCAGCACTAATTTGACTTCCCTCTGTCAAGATTGTCATCCCATTCAGCATGCGTGGGTGCCATGCCCTTTCTCCATCGCTGGCCTTTTTTGGGAGCTTAAATTTTAAGCAAGTAAATCTCATTCAACGTCATAATTGAACAACCATTCTGTTGCCAACAGGATATTCCATGCCAAACTACCACCAGAGCATCATCCAGCTTTCTTCTTCATCACACCCATCAATGCCCATATGCAGCAGCCACCCTCAAACCCCTTTGCCTGCCATGTTTAACACAATTCATGTCTTCACAATCCAGTGTCAACCAGAGGAGGATGGGTTCCCCTGTCGAGTCTTGGTTCCTCTCAAGGTTTCTTCCCTACTGGGAGTTTTTCTTGCCACTGTCGCCCTCAGCTTGCTCATCAGGGGTACATCAAGATACTACACTGAATCAAATCAATCTCCTTCTTTTTTTCTTCTTATCTTACATTCCTAATTGCAAAGCTACTTCAAGCACCATACAAAGGGCCATGTGAACTGGACCCCTTTCCAGCCTAGGCTAAACTTCCCCAGCAAACCATACAAAGCCTAGTGCATTACACCGAACTCAGATACCCAAATGCTTGACCATCTGACCAACAACTGATTCTGACTCCAGCTGCTCTATATCCCACTGGCATACACTCAGACCAAGTTCTCTACCCAAGTTGCTACCATTCATGTGAGTCATCCTGGAGTTCTTTTGGGGGTCTGGCCTTCTAGCTACAGGCAAACGCCACCCAGAAATCCAGCCCAAGTCCTCAGTTCTCCCCCCTCCCTCTATCAATCTTCCCTCATACTACTACCACATGTTGAAGGCACAGTCCAAACTCGCAAATAGTGAAATTTGGGGGGGGAACATGCCTAAAACTCCTCTTTCTTCCTATCTAACATCCTATAATTTCACCTCCTTACCTTCCGTTCCTAAGTTTTTGCAAACTCAGTCCTATATCTGTCCACAGCTATGAGGAGGGTTCAGCCTTCTAGCTACAGGCAGAAGCCTCCCAGAACTCTAGCCCAAGTTCTCAGAGTTCTTCCCCCTCCCTTAATCAGTCCCTCATTCTACCACCACCTGTTGAACTCGCAAATTTATTATTGTCTGAATAAATCACACAAATAATCGTGTAATAATAATTATCTAATAAATAATCTTTTAGTCGTCTTCTGATTTTTGATGATGCCAGTGTACATCTGCCGGTGAGGAAAAATAATATTAAACTATATCATGTTTGAACACACCAACCTAACATCGAGAGAAGGCGCTTAGCTACCTCAGAAACCCTTCCAGATACAGTGTTCCACTCACAAATATGCCATAGAAAATTTGACTTGCTGCTTTGTGAGGCCATAGTCGACAGCTAGAACAGGATCATCTCTAAAATACAAGTTTTAAATGAGTTAGTTTTGCAGTTTTATTGTTTTTTTATTATTATTTACACTATTATTATTATATTATTAGTTATCTTCAATAACTTCAGTTCACTGTGTTAAAAGATACTCATTAATGTAGTCACTTGCCTATTTTTATGAAGATATGTCATTTTGTGAGTAAAGACTTTCCAACTGTTTGCTTTACAGTATCAGGAACCACATAAACAAGACTATTTGAAATTACTTAGGTGTGCATTGTGCTAATTGGTGGGTAAACCCTTCCATTACTTGCTAGCTGCATTAGCCTCATAGCTCCAGTGCAAAAGTCTGGAAACAAGCTTCAGACACCAAACATGTCTGGCTGATGGAGTACATTTGGCATAAGGAGGGAAATTTAAATTTGATTTTTTTGCTGAACTATCGCTTTAATGAATGCAGTTTTGTAGGCTCCATTGTCAGAGAGATTGACCTCTCTCTGAGGCATCACTCCCCTCTCTCTCCTCTCCTCCAGTGGAGCGCTGCGTAAAAGTTGAAGCAATCTTAGCCATTACCCGCTGAGTGTTTCCCGTTGTAGTAGCAGATGTTGGGGCTAAAGGGGAGAGCATTTAAAGGCCTTTGATGGATGATTTCGGGGTAATGAATCAGGCGTGTAACCAGTTCAGAAAGCTGTCAGATAGGCCCGGAGCAGCTGGAGCCAAACGGGAAAACCAGGAGCCGCTCCATGCTGGACAGCCAGCGCTATGCCGTTCGCCCCCAGGGGCTTCTGGGAAAATAATCATAGGGCCGAATCGCAGGAGAAGATTAGCAGAAGGAGAAACGGGGGAACAACTGTAGCGTTTCAGTGTCTCAGGCTGCACAAGAAGCTGAGGGAGCGGAGAATCCTCTTTACAGTGCAGTCAGCCGTGATTTGGCACTGCGCTCATACAGTAGTATATAATCTGTGGAATGGTGGTGTTTATATCACAACTCAGGCTTGTGTGTTTTGCTGTTATTTCCATTATAAATTCTGGAAAGAGCTGAAGCCTCCTTCGTTTTTGTACCTCGAAGTGCAATCTGCCAGGTGAGCAGCTAGTCTGATGTGTTCTCTGAACAAACTTTAAATGAAGCACATTCTCCATCCACTTGATCAGAAACCCTGCCCTTATAGCGCCACCTTGCTGCTGTACAGTTAGAGATTATCGCCCATCTATTGATGCACTGTTTGTTTTAGTAATCCTCTAGCCCAGAGGTTTTCAAGTCCAGAACGTGAATCTGTTTTCTGGTCATGGATTATGTAATGGCAGGTAGGTATGACATTAGATGGCCGATCACTTACATCATCGGTTCAGTCGATTCAGTTCGTTCAGTTATTAATGATTATAAAATATAGGACCAGAAACTGGCTTCAAGGTCCAGATTCGAAGACCTACACTCTAGCCCTTCACTAATGGTCAGTTTCTGACTGCACACACTTGCCGTGTCAGTGTCACTGCGGAGCTGAGAATGTACCACCACCAAAACAATATCTGGGCAACAGCAGTCCTGTGGTCAGAAACTGACCAAATATTAATGGTGTAGAGGGGGTCTGATAAATTATGCATGAGCAGATGGGCTACAGTCTGTAATTCTAGACCTTTATAGTGGACTGATAAGGTAGGTGAAAAAATGGTCAGTGAGTAAAAGTATGTGGTTTGTGTTTCTAATAAAGTGGCCAGTCGGTGGAAGTATGTGGTAGGTATATCTAATGAAGTGGCCAGTAAGAGGAAGTAGAAGGTAGGTGTTTCTAATAAAGTGGCCAGTGAGTGGAAGTACATGGTGGCCAGAAAATGGAAGTACAAGGTAGGTGTTTCTAATAAAGTGGCCAGTGAGTGTGTGTCATTGTTAATCCTCTTGAATTAAACCTGTTCAAAAAAGATCATGAAATATACAGTGAATTACAAACAGTGCACGACAGGACCGCTTCAGTTTTTCCGAAATGTCCCTGATTGGGTTTGTGTTGTCAAAACAACTGCTTGTTGCCATGAAATGCTGTTTCATGAGTAAAGGGAGGGGAGGGGGAGGGTTAATTTGGTCAATGTGGCGTTCTTTGTGGGGACTCCTTGAGGTTGATTTGGCCCGTTTTGCGTATTAGTGTTGTTTGTCTTTCAGGCCTGTTTGCTGGCTCCAGCACCACGGCAAACGGAGCCCCAGCAGAGCTGCTCTCTAACAGCCCTCACCTGCCCCCACGGCATCCCCGCCTGGACCGGGACAGCGACGGGTGAGTATCAAACACATTGAGACTTAGCCTTGTGGGATCTCACAACGCAGGATTTCTCAGTTTAGCTGGATAATATTAACCCCTTAAACTCTAAGGGCCGACATGTGACCACATGTTTCAGTTCCTCACTCTCGTAACTAAAGAATTAACACATTGGTTAGTTTCATAGTAGTAAATTAGTCTTTTTATTAGTTCCTACCAGATAATAATAGTGAGTAGGTTTCACTACAGTGAACCATTTCACATCAAAAGACTTTAAATGACTTTCAACAATTTGATTAATAAAGAAATTATAAAAGAAAATTAAGTGGAATATCTGTTTCAGATTAATAAATTAAGGGTACAAGGGGTTGATCCAAAAATGAGGATTAAGATAGATAGGAATGTCCCTTAGCTATTTTCCTTTTGGACAGTTCTGACTTTTGGCTTAAATTAACTGAGAAATCCTGAGCGTTGTGAAATACCCCCCACATCTGACTCCCACACACACACACACACCCACACACTGGTGACAGCAGTCGGGGTGATGTCAGGATCATGACTGCCGCAGTTTGGAGAGAATGATACGGTCATGGTTATGGAAGGACTGTGGTCATGGATGTCTCTGTGGGATATTAAGTACTAAATTGGATGTTCTTGAGTCATGTGATGTTTTGGGATATTTTGAGCTTCGGTGCATCACGCTAGATGCTCTGTGTAAGTGACCTGTCCTCTGAGAAGGTAATTAGTATGACATAGTTGCTTGTGCAACAAGTTGTGTATCCCAGTGGGGGAACACTTCAGTGTAACATGCTTCTCAGAATAAGTTCCGTGGCTTTAAACCCCTTTGAGATATGTTCTCCTGTCAGCATTTCAAAGAGGCTTTAGTGTCCCTTAAAGTAGTATATATTAGTATTTACAACACTGCCCTCTATGTGCAGTACAGTGAAACAGCGCCTGCCTCTCTGCTGAAATAAGGCATCTCTCGCTCTGCCTGTACAGACAGGTCAGTTTGTTTGAAGAGACTTGAAGGGGTCAAAAGTATAAGTGTAGTTTCTTTGGACTGAAGAGGGTCATGTACACCCACTAATATTGTCCAAAAAACCTTACCTGTGTGTGATTTTTGGGAGACTCCAGGATTTTTCTCCCCATTCATGCTGTTCTGTGTTGCTCTCTCTCATTCACACCGGTTCATTTGGCTCATCAGTTCTTACTGGTAGCAAGCTGAACGGCAGCATTAGAATGAAGTTGGGTGCAGAACATTGGTGTGTGTGTTGGGGAGTGTGGGTGTTTGTTGGAAATGATAGTGATTTAATGTGGAATGATGGTGTTTTTGGAGAAGGATGATATTTAGTGATGTTTAGTGGAGTATTGGTGTTTTGTAGAGAAGAATTGTGTTGAAATGTGATGGTGTTTTGAGCTGGTATTTGTTGGAGAATGATGGTGTTTGGTGGAGAACATTTGTGTTGGTTTGAGAATGATGCTTGTTGAATGATGGTGTTTGATGGTGAATAGTGATGTTGGATGATGAGGTGATGTACTGTGGAAATTTATGCTGGAAATTGTTAGTATTCGTTTTAAAATGTTGGGATTGGTTTGAGAATGATGCTTGTTGAAGAATGATGGTGTTTGTTGAAGAACATTGGTGTTAGTTTGAGAATGATGCTTGTTGAAGAATGATGGTGTTTGGTGGTGCATGGTGATGTTGGATGATGAGAGAATTTACTGTACAAATTTATGTTGGAGAATGTTGGAATTGGATGGAGAATGGAGTTTGTTGAAAAATGCTTGTGTTTGGTGGATATTACACGTTTGATGGCGAATGCTGGTGTTTGGTGGAGAATAACAGTGTTTGCTGATGAATGCTGGTGTTTGATGGAGAATGATGTTAATGTCCGGTGGAGAACGGTGTTTAGTGGAGAAGGGTGGTGTTGAAGAGTAATAGTGGTTGGAGCTTTTTGGTATTTGTTGGGGAATGATGTCTGTTGGAGAACAATGTTTGCTGAAGAATGATGGTGTTCGCTGGTGAATAGTGGTGTTAAAGAATGCTGGAATTGGTTGGAGAATGGTGTTGTTGGATAATGTTGGTATTTGTTGGAGAATGTTGGAATTGGAGAATGAGTTTTTTTGAAAAATGGTGTTTGGGGGATATTACACGTTTGATAGTGAATGCTGGTGTTTGGTGGAGAATAACAGTGCTAACGAATGCTGGTGTTTGATGGAGAATGATGTTAATGTGTGGTGGAGAACGGTGTTTGGTGGTGTTGAAGAGTAATAGTGGTTGGAGTTTTTTGGTATTTGTTGGTGGTGAATAGTGGTGCTGAAGAATGCTGGAATTGGTTGGAGAATGGTGTTTTTTGAAGAATAATGGTGTTGGAGAATGTTGGTGTTTGCTGGAGAATGCTGGGTTATAGGAAAGCCTGCAGCACCCCCACAAATTTAACTCAATCACAATGAAAGCTTTCAGGGAAAAGCAGAGCCACAGCATTCTTATAATTGATATGGTATAATATGTGATTATGTGTACCTCCGTGATGTTGGGGAGAAATTCATACAGTTTTGGCAAAGCAGAAACCTTTCTCACTATAGGCCTTTTTGAGATGATGTACTGTACAAATTTATGTTCTTTTCATTCGCTTAGTATATTGACTTAACACATACGATTTATTTACCGTTCAGAGCACCGGCTTGAGTTTTTTTCTGTGTCCACACTGTGTGTTTGTTTTAATTGTAACGTTACCTAAGCGTCCACCCACCCAATAACACACACACCGCCCTCCCCCTGCCTTTAAAACACACAGGCCAGCTCTCTTTCTTCTGCACTGTCCGCTGCACTGTGTATTTATCCAGCCAATCCAGATTAAACCAATGTCACTTTGACGCAACATAAACTGCAGAGTGCCGGGCTCTAGCTCAGCTCTGAGATGTCAGTCGTGTTTAATTAAGGAGGGACCGAGCTCCGAAAAAAGATCCTACAACACTTTTCTGTTTGTCTGTGTCCTGCAGTTACCAGAGCAAGGATACAGCAAGGTCCAATATGTCCTGAACTGCTCGCTGGTTGCAGGCATGGTTCCTATTAAAACCCCCTGATTTCCCTCAGGAGCCACAAAGCTGAGCTGCAAATCCAATGTGTCATCAAGAAGCGTTGTGTGTACAGTAACAAACAAAAATGCTGGAACGAACGAGCAAGAAACAAGGGGGAGAGAAAGTGCAGAGAGGGAGAGGGAAAGCGAGAGAGAGAGAGAGAGAGAGTGTGGAGCAGTAAGAGAGAGAGAGAGTGTGGAGCAGAGAGAGAGATTGGTGTAAATACATCTGTTCTCTTTAAACATTTAGGGGAAACAGATTTGAACGGGGCATTTCTGCTCTCTATCATAATTTAAGGCAATAACCCATTGTTAGCTAAATCTACAAATTACAGCAACTTTCGGGAAGAGTGAATTGTTCATGAGGTTTTAAACAATGTTCAACTGTTAGCTTGATTGACATAATAGCAGAGCAGAGTGAGCCCCTAAAACACAGGCTTTCTGATGTTTCTCTTTTTTGAGTCCAAAGGGCACATTTTTACTTTCAAAACCCCCTAGTGGAAAGTAACAGAATGCATTTGCTTTGATATTATGATATTATGATATTCTTTATATATAGGTAGATTTCAAAGATCTGTTTTTTCGTTGTTAAAAGGGACCATATCATGGAAAACCAAGTTTTCCTCACTTTTTTAAGTAAAAGATGTGGCATGTGAACTGTAGCATGAGTTGCTGTCAGAGCAAAACATCATAACTTTAGAGTACATTACATAAAAGGTTTACGAAGAGAAACTGTCTAAATTACTTTGAAGAAAATGTGTTGGTGCATTAGCTCATATGTTTGATTTCCAATTAAAACAGATGTTAAGTACAAGTTATTCATTTTTAAGTGGCAGGAAAAATAACATTAAACATATCTTTAACATGCAATAAATCCTCAACAACTAAATATATTAAATACATTTTTTTCAGTGTTTAGTTTGTTCACTCTCTACCTTTATTCCAGCTTCCATTCTTTTCAGGAGACTCACTTTCAGTTCCTCAAAGAATCTGCAGACACACCTCCAAAGTTCAGTCTTAGAAGCTGGTTGATCATTTTCTGAAGTAATCAAACATATTCAGTGGTGTTGAGGTCTGGACTCTGGGGTGGTCAGTCCATTGATCAGCTTCTTTGTTTGATGTGTCCGTCTCCTTTTCTCAGTGAGGTTCTTCTTGATCAGCTACACATCCTTTCAGACCCACAGCGCTGAGTCGTCTTCTCACAGTGGAAGGATGGACAGAAACACCTGTGGATGTTTTCAGATCTGAAGCAGCTTGATTTTCTCCTCTCTCTCAGAGATGAAAGCTTTAAGTGCTGTTTATCTGATGGGGGCAGTTTTGTTGTCTACCAGGTCTTCCAGGTGGTTGTTAGGAGACTCATTTTCCCTGTAACTTTTAATAATTTTGGAATCTCCCTTATTTATTTTCCTTTGACTTTCCCCTTCCTTGTACGAGTGGATTATCTTATATCTAATATTCGTATATCTAATATCTACGCATACAGCTGTCCTTTACATTGTGTGCAAATTACTAATAGAAATTATGTAACAATATTAAAAAAAAAATTATATGAACTTATACTAAAATATATATTGAGAATATATTTCAGACCAAACTACAGCCCCATGGCTTCATATGGGTGTGGGTCAGTCCACTTTGTGAGGTTTTACACCGGTGCTGATGTGATTGCATATGATCTGTATGTAAGCAGCGGTGGATAGGTCAGTTTCCAGCATAAACACTGCAGCGGGCATGAAATGAGCTGGGCCAGTGCGAGCTGTCATGTTCCGCAGCTCTTTAAGAGCGCTCTGGAAGGTGGGCTGTTTTTCCAGCACACAGAGAAACAGCTCCAGACAATTAGCCAGCGGTTTTAGAGCTCAGCTAACAATTACTGCTGCTTGGAGAAAAACGAGGTTTGAACTGAGCCAGCAGAGAGGATACTCATGTAACACCAAACGA